CCTGCCATCCCACCCCCAAACCCTGGCCCTCAGCACCGCCTCTGCCCGGCTGTTAAATCCCCCCAGGGCTGGGGACTCGACCCCTTCCCTGGGCAGCCCCTTCCAGCCCCTGCCAGCCCCAAGGGGAAGGAATTGTTCCCCATGGCCAACCTCACCCTGCCCTGGCACAACTTGAGGCCGTTTCCCCTCGCCCCATCGTCCCTTCCCTGGGAGCAGAGCCTGACCCCCCTGGCTCCCCCCTCCTCTCAGGCAGTTGTAGGGGGTGATAAGGTCTCTCCCTGTGCCGCCCAGTGCTGACGCGCTCCCTGGGGACACGCTCCCCCCACGCTCCATGGGGTGTTCTGCGAAATGCATGCTTTTTGGGTTTTTGGCTTGCTGTGGCCGATTTCCTTCCCACCCCATGGAGCACCCCCAGCCTGCTGCGCAGTTGCCCAGGGATGCGTTTTGCTGTAGTTTTAGCTGTAGAGCTCTTGCTCTACTCCTAAATGGGTCTGGCAGGAAAAAAAAAATTATATATATATACACACAAAAAAAAAATAAATATAAAAATATATATACGCACACACATACACATGTGGAAGATGAAGCAGCCCAGCTTCTGCTGCTGTTGCACCTCGCCCTCCTGGCAGCCGGCGGTGGCGGGGAGCACTTTGTCACCTCGGGGCTGTGGTTCAGCCTCGAGCCTGACCAACGTCACCAGCCAGCCAGGGCACGCACGGCGGCGGTGCCAGCCAGCCAGGCTCAGCCTGAAGGCCAGGGCTGGTTTTAGGCTGACGCCCTCGCTAACCGCAGTGGACCTGGGCTCCGGCAGCAGCCGGGGCCAGGGCAGCTGCGAGCGAACAGCTCGCCGTTGTTTCTGGAGGCGCGGTGAGGATAGCACATCTGTGCAGATGTGGAATCCTGCAGACTCCGGCCAGGGAAACACTGACCTCTGGATGAACCTTTGCCTCCCGCGTCCCTCATCTCCCATCAGCAGCTGAGCGCGGAGCCCCGAAAGCGGAAGGCGGCGCAGGGGAGGAACCGCACCATGCAAATGCTCCAGCCCCCGGCGTGCCCGGCCCCAGCACCGCCTCGCCTGGGGAACCCCGGCCCTCTCCTCCCTGCATCCCGAATTGCTGGGCACGGGTCTGCACAACGGGCATGGCCGATGAAATCAGCTGAAAAGTCCCTGATGTTGATCAGGGACTTCTGTGGAGAATCCCTGGGCATTTGCATCCCAAGGCTGTGAACTCCCTTTGCAGGAGTGCCCAGCCGAGCGAGCCGGGTGTGGACCGAGAGCCGTCCAAGGCGCCCGGCAAATACCGAGAGGCTTTTTGGGGACGGTGCCGAAGGCAGAGCGAACCGCACAGCGGCATGACCGGGAAGAGCTTTGCTCCTGCGATTCGCAGGGCAGCTCGTGCTTCTCACCGCTCCTGGCCGTCAGGCTGGCTCCCCGGGCTCCAGCGTGGTCTGCAACAGCGATGCCTCCGTTCCCCCAAAGGGTTTCACGTGCGAGGTCTCCAAAGAACGGGAGGAATGAGCTGCAGGACAGAGACTTGGTAGAAAAGGAGATGAAGCCACTTAAAGGGGGTAAAGCCACTTGGCCGATGTCACAGCCGCACCGGTGGGTGACAGACGCTCGCTCCCAGCCGGGGCGCTCCGGAGGTGGAGGAGGATCTGGTTCTCTGTGTACATCAAACCTATACATCTTTCCCAAGAAGTATGGCGACAGCAGCGCTGTTTCCCGTCGCTTTCCCCAACCGCGGAGGGCAGCGGGGAGTCGAAGGCAAAGGCTGAGCAGGGAGCGGTGCCTCTCGCATCGGCTGCGCATCAAATGCTCCCCGAAGGACGGGGCAGCTTTGCCTTTCAGCTGTGTCCCACCACCCAAGCGCACTCCAAGTACTTTCCACAGCGGCTCCTGGTTCGGTTGGGGAAGGAAGTCCCACCCAAAACACCGAGATCAGGAAAAAGCTTTATTTGCAAAGAAAATATTGACAATTTACATAAACTTACATCCTAGTTTATATACATTATGTATATTTTATATACAGATAGTGTCTTGAATAAAGATGTCGAAGCACAAACCAGCATCAGTCTATCACCGTGCAGCTCTAACAGGGAACGGGGGGGAGTCGTGTCCCTTCCCACAACTCCTCTCCCACCCAGCTTTTGGCTTCCTCCCAGCCTGGGCAGGATGAACATGGGTGGGGGTGTGTGTGTGGGGTCAGGCTTCCATGGGTGCAGCCACGAAGCGCAGCTGCAGTTGTCCCTTTGCCCCCAAAGCCTGAGCCAGGACGGGAGCCAGCGCGGGTGCCACCAGCCCGCAGCCAGCGAGGAAGGACTCCCTGTGCCCAACCTCTTACCGGGAAGAGGGGAAGAAACCGAAGGAGCCAAGGCACTTTGCTCATCCCCCTCCCAAGGCAGCTCGGGTGCCCTTTCGTAAGCGCCTGGCGTTGCTCAAGCCAGTGGAAGGACGATGGCAAGACCACAACCGCTTACCTGGGTGAGGAAGGTGCTGGAGGGAAGCAGCCAGGCGGTTTTGGGTACGGAGCCATGACCTAAAGCTTTTCCTGAAGGGAATTCTTCCTTCAGAAGGGGCCCTGAAGACAACAGCCGGCTTCCCTAGCAATCGTCTCCACAGAGAGGAGCTTAGGAGGGAGGAAGGGTTGCAGACGATGCATTATGTATGGATTATCTGCTTGCCACATCCCTGCAGCTGGAGTCCAGCCGAAAGTTGGGCAGCAGAGCCAAGGCACGTAGGTAAGAGCAGAGCCAGCAAGTACCACCGGAGAGGAAGGCTGGCACCCAGGAAGCCACCGGTGACTGCTTTCGTCTCCACCACCTCGGACAGGCAGACGTTTGTCTACAAATGAAGCACCTCTTTCCTTCTCAACCAGACTAGGAACCAAGATACATCAGAATTCAAAGACATCAGAGGGAAAGACTGGAGCAAGGCCCCGTTCCTGCAGGAGTTTGTTAACCCCCCCATACGCATCCTCCTCACGCTCCTCTGAGCTGCTTCCAGGCCTTTTCGGCTCCAGCTAAGGGGAAGAGGCAACAGAGATGGTGGGACACCACCTAGAGAAGCATCACACAGAAGCAGCTATGCTACAGCCTCAGTAACCTGCACTGTAACGCTTCATTGGCGAGACCTCGTCGCTGGAGAGGCCAAAGGGTTTCAAGTATAAAGACCCTCCATGGCTGCTACGGGACTGGGGATCACCCGCTCATCCCAGGGGTGAACACGGCGCTCGGTACCACAGCCACCTGCGGTCAGGTATTCTCCGCTCTCCATCTCCATGTCCAAGTCCAACTCCACGTCTCCAGCTCGGCGACACCCAGCTCACGCTTTGGTGCAAGGTGAGTGTCCGAAAAAGCCTCTTCACACCTTCCATGGCAGGAGCCATCCCTTCTGCTCTCCTCCCGCGTCCCAGGCACGTGCCAGAGGGGAACCTGACAGCGATGCGTGGGGCCTTAACAGAGGGAAGGGATTCTCCCTCTGCCTCCTCCTGCCCGCAGCCACAGTCCATGATCCCAGATCATGCCAGCGGGGGACAAGGAATGCAAACTCCATCTATCTCGCTCCCCCAAGTCACTGCATTATTTATGCTTGCCCCTAAGTCTTGCTGTTTGGGCTGCATTCTAAAGCAATTCTGTTAACGATTTGCTTCATGTTCTCACTATACGCAGCTGTCCTGATTCATTCTTGTCAGAGGAACATGTCCTCCTTAATCCATTTTAAAGGAAATAAACCACAAAGACTAGTGAAGTGCCCCGAAGGCTCTTGCCAGTCCAACATGTTAAGGCTAAAAAGGAGAACATATTGAAAAAGAAATAGCAGGCAATTTTTCATGCAGTCATTTTACAAACTGCACGCCTCCTGTGAATAGCGAGGCTGTAGCCAATGCTGGGTGCCCCCAAGAAATACTTATCTCCCAATAACTGCAATACTTGGCAAGTGAGATCACTCGCTAGGGATGGGGAAAAGCGACGGAGCCAAGAACGCTGCTGGCCAGGGTGGACCCCTCTGCGGTCAGACGGGTCGCTCCAGCACGGTGCTGGGCCACGTCCACTCCCACGTCCCTGCAGGTGACCGGGGCTGAGCCACCTCTGCTTGGCGCCAGAGGTCATCACCAAGACGTCGGTTCGGGACTTGCCCCGTTTGCTACGTAGGCTGAAACTTCACCACCCTCTTTAAACTTCTAAAGAAAAAAACACGCTCCGAAAAGAAATCCAGTTAAAAAACAAAACAAAACCAAACCCCAAGACAACCAAGCACAAACCAAGGCCCGACACAAAAGAGCAATTAGCGCTTCAGCCTCTTCCTCAGCTCGAGCACATCTTATAGCTTCAGGTCTCCCCAGCTGAGGGGAGGTACCGGGCGAGAGTTGCTCAAGAAGCCAAAAGAAACAATAGCGTCCCGGCTCTTCTGCTCGGCACCAGAAATCGAGTTACGACTGGACTCAGCAGGGCTTGGAGAAAAGAAAAAGTGGTGACTTCATGCGGGACCAGGCTTTTTAAAGACAGATTTCCTTTTTTTTTTTTTTTTTTTTGCTACAGACTCCATCACCACTTTTAGGAGCGTTTTTGGTAGAAGGGAGCCAAAAGGAAAGGGGTGGAGGGGAGGAAGGATAAAAACCACATCTAAAAGCAGGAGAGTTGCTACTAAAACAGAAAAAAAAAAAATTAAAAAATTCCTGTTTGAATAATTTTATTCTTAAACATGACAAACTTCTTCAGAGTGTTTTCACAAGTACTTGTGTCTGCTCTACGCGGCTCGGTGAAGCCTGTAGAAATGTGTTCTGGTTTGCAAAATATTAATTAAAAAGACAAAAAAAAAAAACCAAAACAAAAAACAAACCCCAAAACAACCCCCAACAAAACACAAATTGCTGTAACAGCAGCAGTACTTTAAGGCAGCCCCCGTTAGGGCAAGGTATACCTCTGGGGTAATGGCAGGAGCTGAAAGTAGCAGAGGCTCTGGCACCGGGAATCGGCATTTTCTTTGGGACTTTGTGATTTCTGGAACGTGGAGGCAGTTTCCTATCTGCTAATCCCGCTCTCCTAAGGATTCACCTTCCTCTCGCACTTACTGCTGTCGCAGCCTGCTTCCAAGCTCTAGGTAGAGGCACTTGGCCGCCTTTGCTCGCACTCCTGAGGATGAATGTAAACACCACTGACCCTGTCTTATTCACCTCCCTTCGCATCCCGTGGCCGTTCCAGTTCAAACTGGGAAGGCAGAAACCCAGAAGCCCCCTTTCTTGCTTTCCTTAGCGTGCAGAAGCAGGAGTGCCTGGGTAGGACAATTTTGACAGGAGTCTGTCTGTCTTCTCCCGCTACCGCCTGGGATGCTCTTGCTAGTGCAACATAAAAGCAGAGACCCACACCACTCTCAACAAGCCTCGTGTGAAGATCACAGAGCAGAACATCAGTGCAGTAATACTTGAAATACTGAGACAAGGCAGACACAACGGCCTTTCTTCCTCACAATGCTTTTTCAACTAGCTTTTTGATCCAAGTCTCCATGCAAGTCACAGAAGACAATTGTGCTTCCTGCATTCACATATAGGAATAAATAGCTCTGGATCAGTTTTCTTTATGGCCGGATTACAGAACCCCCTGAAATACTGATACGCTTATGAACAGCAGCACTGTGCAGTTCCGTGAGTATCCTTGGACGTGCCAAGTTCATCTAGGATGCTGGCGCATCTCCTAGGCGTATGGCCCCAAAGAAGGTTGTGTGCTTGCTCATGTTGATGGAGATGTCAGCATGGACCATTTTCACAGCAATCTTCTGCCTGGCTTTGAGGAGGCAGACCCCAGCTGTATAGCAGGTATTGAAGTTGGTCTTGCCGGTCTCAATACTCCGAGTGCATTGCAGAAAGGGCTTTTCATCCACCACCACCTCATAGCTGGCAAAATCTGTGAAGTTTATGTAGTATACCTGATGTGAAGCAGGAAGAAGAAAGGTATTAGGGAGTGCATTTGTGCACACGGAACAAGTCCACATTCCTTTCAGTGCGTACACACGTGTTCCCTCCACTAACGATCCCTTCCTTGACCCCGGGACACCTATACTCATGGGAGGTTGACTCGTTCGAGGCAGAGAGAACCCCAAGCCAACCAAACACGAGGAAACTCTGCAATCCACTTCATACTAACACAGGTCTGCAAGCATCCGTGGATCCACGTACCTAAGGCTGAGCTATGAATCCTCGCTCTAGACCCTGCTTACTACAGGAAGAATTACAAACCTGCACAGGCCTAGTCGCAGAAACGTGTAGGCAGTCCTATCTGCTACAAACAGCTTTGCATCCAACAAACAAACAGAAATATTTCAACTGAAGTCCTCTTTCACTTACCTGGCCAGTCCCGCTTTCTGGGTCCCATGAGCCTCCTTTTAGTGTTGACATCAAAAATGCCCTAAGATGTACTGGGAGTTGCCTTCTTTGTAATTGGACTGGAGGTGCTTTCAAAGGCATAGGCTCTTACAGGGAAGACACTCTCCCAACCTCCACAGCTTGGGAGCAAACGACCTCATAGGGTTTGTACTGATTTAGCTCCTAGATCTAGCGCCTAAGTCCCCACTGACCCCGTTACTCGTTACTTAATCTCTCCCACATGCCGATTCTGAAGAACTGCGAGATGCACGAGAAAGACCTGTCCAAAGAGAAGTCAGCCCCAGGGAGCTGCTTCTTCCCGATAGAAGAAAACGCGCCACTTTGGATGCATCCGCTAATTCTTCTTAGAATTAGCCACAGAAGCTACGCAAGGCCGAGTACCCTGCTTCCTTGATGGACTACAAACCACAAGGGCTTCCGAGGCACATCATCGTGGCCAGCATTAGTGTTAAGCACTGGGGAAACAATTAGACTTTGGCCCATGTAGAGTCATTTTTCCTGTCCCCATCCAAAGCAGACACGTCACCAATTCCACGGAAGGGCACCTAACTAGACATCCACAGCCTACTCGGTACGGTCCCAGTGGGGCTGCCAACTGGAGAGAAGCAAATCACGAGCAGGAGGCAATATCAGAAGCCCGGAGCAAGGTGGAAGTTGCTTAATTGTGGTTGTCACACAGAAACCCTCTTGTCTTGCTAAAATCTGCCCCAGAACCTGGACAGTTTTTCAGTCCATAGGTGGGTGGACACCTTGCACACTCTGGAAGTTGGAGAGCTTCATAGCTCGTGCTCCATGCAGTGCAGCCATTCTGTTCAGATATTTGCAAGACACCGGGAGCAGTGTGTTAAGTGACGGTCCATCCCCTGCGTTTTATTTGAATGGGGAGAGGAAACAATGTCTTAATTTGCTGTAAACTGAAACATAATACAGTATTTAATGCTTTGTTTAGCTCTTTTTACAGGAGCAGGTCCGTGCATCCATTGTCAGTACCAACTATCCTGCTTGCACAGGTTGCTGGTGCATCGTGTCGGTCTGAAGCTACACGAGGAGGGTGGAGTTACCTGGGCTGGAGTTTGGCCAAGCCACCCGGGCCGAGAGTCCTATGCTTACAAAGACTGACATGGCTTCGCCAATGGCCACGAGTTGCCAGGGTTTGGGTCTGACATCTCTTTTAAAGCACAGAGCCTAGCGTCCTGCTGGGACCCTTGTTCTGCAAGGAGGTTTAGATGTGCTGGTGAATGACTACTCGGACAATATGGAGGATTAAAAAAAAGGCATTGGTGGCCTGTGGGGTCTGGCTGGGCGTCTGTGCAAGTGTTTCGGTAACTAATCTCTTGCAGCTGGTGTCACGGCGGAACGTGTGACCTTGCACTTCCAAACTCTAACGTCTTCCTCCGACACACATCTCCTAGAGCACGAAGCGGTTAGAAGTACATACAAGTTCTTGGCATTTGCTAGTTGTCTGGAGCCCTCTCGTGGTTCATGCAAGGCTTCCATTGGAACACAAGAATAGGAGTTAGGCCTAGGACCGTACTCACTTCTACCTGACTATAGATGAAGTATGTGCCGTCCACCAGTACCTCCAGCTCCCCACTGCGGGCATGCAGCTTAAACACCTTGGGGTTCATAGTGATGCGAGACCAGTCATTGAGGACTCCACCTGAAAGATCTCAGTATGAGAAAACGGCAGTCACTCAGTACCCGTCAGAATGAAAAGCGCAGGAGCACAGAAATACAGTGACATTGCATCGTTTCATACACAACCGCTGGCACAGACTCGGGTTGAAAAGTCAAGGAACTCGATAAGAAAATCCCAGAATTAAAGGCTACGGTGCATTAGTTGGGGCTCCTCTCTAGACCTCTAATTACACTGTCACCTGCTGGTGGACCCTCATTCTGCTCAGTGCACAGCACCACTGATTTACATCTCTACTCGTCCTCATCATGAGTAGTTCTCCTCATCCTTGAAAGTAGGTGCATGGCCTTTTGTACTGGACTGCGTTCGTCCCCAGTGCTGGGTACAGACCAGCTCGCCTCCTCCTGACACTCAGTTGAGCTTATTACCATATTTGAGTGGTTTTACAGGCCTGAAAACACGTTCCCAGTATCACCCTCGCTCCAGAGCAAAGACGCTCTGGCACATCGATGCAAATCGATGCCAGTACTAGAAGGCGTTTGCTTAATTCACCTGAGAGGCTGGGGGCTGATTTTTCACACTATTTTTGTACGTTCAGCCACAGATCATAGCATCATTTGGTTGGAAAAGACCTTTAAGATCATCGAGCCAACCGTACCTGTCCACTCCTAAGCCACAGATCGCAAACCACTTATTGCAGCTGCGGTTATAAAAGCATTTCTGCAGCTCAGACCCCCCTCCTGAAGAGCATCTGCTTGTGGCCCTCCTAAGAGCTTTGTTACTGGCGATTTGCCCGGTATCGTGGAATAAACTCTGTGGCAGAGGTAGGAACAGGATCCAGTTCTCCAAGAAAGATCCTCCACTGACGTTACCCAGCCTTGGGACCGTTAAACCTCTTCCTCTACTTGCCACCCCACTCATTCCCCTCCCCACACCTCTCTAACCAGCATCCACGCCAAACGGTGTGCTGAAGACTACATCAACAAGCACGTCCTTGAGGACCACGGCAAGGCTAGGCTGAGAACGGTGATTGCTGCCCTTATGGGAACGGGACTACGGCCTGCCTGCCCCCGTCTCCGTGCTGCTGGGCAGGACGGTGTTCTCAGCAGCGGCGTTGTGACCCTCACTTTAAGCCTTGGGATCATCCCTAGAAGAAAACTGGTCCTTGCAGGAAAAGAGACAACAGCATTTTGGGAAAAATAGCATGCGGCTATGAGACTAGGCCATCTCTCAGGACGCATATATACATGGAGGCCAGCTCAGGGTTATGCAATCGATTTTAATTCTGGTATTCCTTGACTTCAACATTCTTGACTTTGTAACTAGCGTTATTTTAACAAATGCTTTGTCATTACATTTCCTAGGTTTTTAAAAGCCAAAACAACAACAAAGTACGAAATTGCATCACGTCACACCACATTAACCCCTAACTGGGGTCCTCAGCACGGTCAGGGGTTCATCCTCATGGTCATGCCCCATCCTCCGGCACTGGAGCCAACAGAATGCCTGACAACATGAGTCGACCTCGGCTCTCCGGGCGGGCCAACGAGCAGGTCCAGAGGACACGCTTCGCTACGAGCCAAGGACAGAGCCGTTCCCTGTAGGTGCTTTGTTTTACCAGATACAACCCTCTTCCCCCCAGCCTTCATCTGCTCCTCAGCTCCCTGCCCCCAGTTGCAAACCAGCCAGGCTGTGGGTTCTGCTGGCTGGCAGCGGGACAGCGTTCATGGCTCCCGGCATCGGATTGTTCCCGAGCAGCGGGGGGGTACCCTCAGAGGGCAATTCCCACTCTTAGGGAGCAGCGTACGCTCTGTAAACATACAGGCTTCCCACTAATAAAGGGATAATTACTTTTTGAACGTAAGCAAACCAGCATCTTTTCCCTCGCATTGTTCTTGGGAACGGCTGGTTTCCTTTTGGTTTTGGGGAGCTTTCCCCCACCCTGCTGTACGTGTACTTCCCTAACCGTGAGAGATTGCGGCTCCCGCAGCTCACGTCTGCTGCAAGAGAGAAATTGCCTTCCAGCAGCAGCGCTGCTCAGCCCTCATCGTCCCACGCATGGGGCAGGAGTTGGTGGGGACCAGCTGTTGGCAAGAGGAGCGGGGAAACTCGAGCAGAAATTGGATGGGGATGCGGGAAGGAAGGAGGAGAGCAAAAGAGCTGCCTGCGGACGTGAAATGGCTCGGCAGGGCTTGGGCTTAAAGGCTGAGAGGCTGTCGGTGGGGGGAGAGACGCAGACGGGACGGTGGAGGCCGCGCGTGCACATGCTGGTGGTGTAAGGCGGGGGGGGGGGGAGTTAGTGGCTGCGCCCCTCTGTGTCCCCAGGCTACAGCGCCTTCCCCTGCCATAAATTATGGGGAAAACTGGAGAAAAACACCGGCTCACGGGGCTGAGATAGGAAAAGGATACGCGGAGGGCTTAAAAAAGGACAGAGTGGGAAAGGCGGCTGGGCACCGAGGGGCTGAGGAGGACGGATGGTAGAAGAGCAGGTTGGAGGAGGCACCTCATGGATCTGGAGGTCAAGGAGAAGGGAGATTCAGCGGGACAGAATTGCTGCGAGGTACAGGACAGAGATAAATGGGAGCGCAGGGGAAACGGGGATGGAGACTCAGCAGAAGGCTCCTCTATAAGGGGGTCTGGGCAAGGCAAATGGGGCTATGGTGGCAGAGGCCATCGGCAGGGCTAATCAGGGACCCGCGCTGTGGGGTGGGCTTAGACCCAGACACGAGGCTACGGAGGGGGCAGGATGGGCTCTTTTCAGTAAGTGCCAATATCATGAGATCCTTACCATTCTTCACTTGGATTGCTGAGCCTTGGCCTTGAAGGTGGACCACAGCTGGCTGCAAACGAGATTACAGGGATTTAAAATTCATGGGAAACACCGCGGCGCTTTGCAGTAACCTGGCAGACCTCCACAGCACTGGTGACCAGTACGGGGGCGCGAGAGCGCCCCGAAATCATTAATGCTTTTCATAAATGAAAAAAGAAGATCAGAGCAGCTGACGACGTGTTTAAGTACTGGAGAAGAGGTCAGAAGGCCAAGCCAGGTTAACAGGGCTTGCTTTTGGGGAAGAAAAAGGGCGAGCTCAGGCAGTCACTCTGCAGAGCTACGATTCAGCCCGCGCGAGAGGGGCTGGGGGTTTTTTTTCACAGCTATACCATGGAACACAACATTAGCAAACGTAGCCAGCAACGTTTACAAAAATCCAGCCAAAGCTGGGCTCTTCCCTTGAAAGAAGATCAACCAACCTGGATGTCTCTGGAGCCGGCCTTGTCTGTGGCACCTGCAAAATGCAATTGCACATCGTTGAAGAGGAAGCTTGAAAGAGCTGCAGTAAACGCTCCTACGAATAAAACTTCTCTTACCCCATTAAATAACCACTAAACCCCCATTTTTGAACCGGAGGAGGACAGTAACGGCAGCATGGCATGCAGCCTAATGTTAAAAAGGACATAAAGAAAGAAAGAGAGTCATCCTACCTCTTCCTATTTTATTTCTGCTTTTCTGCCTCACGTCATCAAAATTCCCCAACGCTATTCAACCAGTTTCTACTAGAAGGAAAAATTGCACAACCCTTTTCCTGCTTGGTAGGGGCCATAAAGCCTCTTGGCTGCAAAGATTACAAGTTTCGCTCTGCACTAACTCAGGTCATTCATTGCATTCAAGCTACGATGCTGAAATCTCTTTTCTCCGAGAGCCAAATCTCAATTAAAGAGGAGACGCCTGTGGGCAGTGCTCTGGAGTGCTAAGGACCTCATGCTGCTCCTGGCCTCTGCTTTGGCAATTCCTGAGATATAAACTGAGAAGTCAACCAAGTTTTCCTTTGAGAGCCATGCCAGCTAGAGGGTAACAGTCCCAATTTCTCTGATGATACGTTTTTTAATACTAGACGGTTCATTTTATATATATAACAAACACCACTGATATGAACTTCCACTCATCTGCATTTTAAAGAGCTATTCAATTCAGGGATTTTAACAAAGTAATTGGCACGTGACCCCATGGAGAAACAATATGGTGCAGATATAAAGGCACAAAGACAAATGAAACCAAGAACTGCAGGAGTTCTATAAAAATATGTTTTTATATTTTCACCTGGCTGGTAGGGGAGGCAAGCTGGTACGGTTCCCGGGCTGGCTCAGCAGCTGGGCTAAGCGTCAGCCTTCCCAGTCCCGATGCAAAGCCAGGCTTTGCGTTGGCTTAAGAGGAATTAATGCAAACACTGAGCTGCTGCTGGCAGGAGCCACCTCGCAGCCGGTTTGCACACACAGAGATCGGTGTCGGACAGACTTCAGCGGGAGGCTGAAAGGCAGCTGAGGCTCCGCAGGGCTTCACTGCTCCTTCCTCTGCACCCTCGTCCGACAGGCACCACCTCGCCCCCAGCACCGCACCCGAAACCCCGCGGGGCTGCAGAACTCCTGCTGCTCCTCCCGTCCCCCCCGCGGGTGCAAGGACGAGCCCAGGAGCACCCGAGTCCTACACAAGGATGCTGCACCATCGCCTTCGGACCCTGCACCGTCCTTGGATGGAAGCCTGGAGCTTTTTTATTTATCGGTACAGCAGCGGTGCCACCGTGGCATCTCCTGCGTCCCCCCGGTGCGCGAGGGCTCTGAGCGGAGAAGGGGACAAACCTGAGGGGCCCTGCAGTCCGGGTGGTCCCTGAGGGCCCGGTGGGCCAGGGGGGCCAGGCGGTCCCATGACGGTTGTGCCGGGAATCCCGGGGATGCCGGGAATGCCGGGAGGACCCTGGGGCCCAGGAGGACCTGGTGGCCCTTGGGGACCATTGGGCCCTGGAGGACCAGCCTTTTTACCTGAAAAATAGAAGGTCAAACGTTAGCTTCTCCACACCCTGAGGATGGGATGGTCTTTTACCTACAGGAAAGCCCCGGGAGTGAGGAAAGCAGGTGGCTCAGTGCTGTCTGGAGGGCAGGGACAAGGAGGAGCACCCAAGCGGCCGGGGTGGGTGTCCTGCAGCTCCACACCGTGAGGACAACGCTGCCGGCAGGAGAGCAGCAGGACACCGCCTTGCAGGCTCCTTCCAGGGTGTGTAATTACATTTAAACGAGGCACGTGGACTCTCGGAGGCCTCCCAGGAGCTGGAGGCTCAGACTGTCTCTGCCCCAGCACTCCGGCCGCAGCCCTCCCCTGCCCACCTGGCTCGTGGCCCGGGGCTGGGAGGTCCCGCAGCCCTCAAGGACAGCACGCCCGAAAGCTGGTCGCGCCCCGTTGGTGAAGTTAGGATGCTCCCTTGGACCAACTCCATGCTGCAGTGCCACACCATGACAGGCAGAGCACTAAAAGGCGAGACGAACCGCTCCACAGCTTCTCCATTTTCTGTTTTTTTGAGGGAAAACAGTTGCAATCTTTTCTACCTGCCGTAGACGTAGACATTACGAATAAACCCTAGGGCTTGATCTCCTGTCTGAGGGAGAGAGGTGCCTCCAGAGGGCAGTTCAGAGCTGAACTTCAGCTCCTCTCCACCAGCTGCCGAGCCCCGGGCGATGCAGGAGGCATCCCCACGAAGCGGCACGTCGCTACGGCGCGGCGAGGATGCTCTTAACACGCACGAAGGACTTGGATGCCACAGCGCCTCGAAATAATGAAACGTGCGGTTTTGGGCTTTGGATGGAGGGGGAAGGGAAGGACCAACCCAATCAGGAGGACGGAAGCACCGGAGAATTGCCGCCATCCCCAAACACATCTCATCGCGCCGTCCCAGGAAGAGAAAGAGCACAACCATGTAAATAAAAGCTCTTACCAGGCACATACACAGCAGACTGAAATAAGGCCTGAAAGGGAAAGCCTGACCCGTGCCCTCACGATTTTCCAGACCCCTGATAGAAATCCATCATCTTTTGATGTAGTTTTTAAAATGCAACTTTGTAACAGCTTTTACGCCAACGAGCTTCATTAACTTAGCAAAATCGCTTCAATTGCTGAAACCAAGTCAGGTTGAAGGACAGAATTAAACACTTTTTTAGATGATGGCAGCAATTAGGATACGAAATAACAGTTATTGGAATGGTTTCCGTGTACATTTATGTACTTCTTTCTCTGCTAAATATCCATTTTTGTCATGGAACAAAACTGTAAGGAAAACCCCATCTATTTTGGTTCGCACAGAAATCGCTAGGCGGCCACGGGCGCGTGGAAATCAGCGTAGGACCACGATGCCCTTCAGGTTCAACGTGCAGAAAACGAAGTTAAAAAGCGAGCACGGGTGGCTGAAGTAATACTGGTACCCCACAAAACTTAAGGGGACAAATCGATCGCGGCGGTATTTCTGCCTGGCTTAACAGCCGCGTCTCCAAATCCCAGTTGGCAACAAGCCAGCCTTCCTCTAATCCGGCCATCCTCCTCCTCCTCCTCCTGGGGTTAACGGCATGCTGTGGGAATCACCATCTTGCATCAAACCCCTTACCCATTTCCCCCCCCGAAGCATGCTTGCTAAATTCTTCTTGTTCGCATCCCCTCCAACCTGGGCCCTCCGAGCAAAGGATCACAGGCAGAAAGTCGGGAATCCTGCTGCTGTCGCTCCTTGCTTTCCTTCCCAGAGGGATACGCACCACAGCTGGTTTAACTAATCCGCCTCAGAAATCTGGTTTGCTACTAAACAAGCCGCTAGTTTAGCAGTAAAACAATTGCACATAATTCTGGTGCCGCACAGGGACACTTATTTTTTGTGCGTTCCCTCTCCTTCAAGCAATTTCAACCGCTTTTCTGCGTTAACGGAACCTCACTTATTAAAGGCACGAGGCAAAAAATAGACCTGCAGTAAGCACAAAGCTCTCGATTCATCCTCTGAGGGGACCCCAGCCCCAGCAGCTCTGCAGGGAGGGTTCCCAGCACCCAAGCCCCCGCGGCTCCATCTCTACCCCCATGCGCTAGGCAGGCTACAAAACTCAGCGCAGGCAGAACTCAAAGCAAGTCTTCCTTGATCACCCTTCACCAAATAATACATTCGAATCCTAAAAAAAAATAATTAAATGTGACGATACCATAAAATTAAACTATTTTATACAGCGCTACAGCTGTGTATAATACAGCTCCGCGAGATCCCCCTGCTACTCCAGAACTGCTACGAATACCGCAGTCATAATTTGTTATTAGTTCGGCTGATTTAACACGGGTTTAGGGTTTCAGAGTTTTGTTAGGACAAACTTCTCAAACATAAAATTTTATGCTGCTTTAGAGGGTAAATACAAGCGAAGTTTCTAACTGTGGCCTGTCTCAACCTCTCAGCCGTCAACATTGAATTTGTATCCAAGGATTAAAAGCGATTTGATGTGCTATTAAAGTAGCCCAGACACGTAAAGCGTGGCTGCTCCTGCTGCCGCAGGTCGTGATGGTGGGCTGGGGCCCCGGCCACGTACCGGCACGCACGGGAAGGTCTCTCGAGGGACACACCAAAGTGCTGACAGCTAACTTCTCTCTTAATTAAATATACATTAGGTGCAATAGGTCATAAGCAGAGAGCTGGCATCGCGCCTGCCAGCGCGTGGCTGCACAGGCTCGGCCACGAGCACAGCTGCACGCCGACGCTCGCACGAGCCCCTCGAGGCGTTGAGCTCCGTGGCTTCGGAGGCAGCACGACCCCGGGTCGCGCACGGTTCTTGCATTTCTCGTGACCTACAACCCGTCGCGAGCATGCACTGCAGTTCTTAAAACGTGCACAGAAGTGTTTTGGTGGTTACGAGGAACAAAAAAGGGGTGACCTGACTGTTTCCCTTTGACTCGCTCAAGTTCCTGGTAGCACGTGAGTGCATGACCATAAGCGTTCCCCAGGAGTCCCACGCAAACAGGGATGGCACCAGACACCCCATGGAAACACAGGGCTACCTCCCAAAGAACCCAAGCCACAACAACTCATCCATAGGCATCTTAAAAAAATACCCAATTACCCATTGCAAACAGCTTGAGGAACATAAGAAGTCGGACAAAATACCTGTGGGCTGACCAACACTCAGAAGGGACACGGAAAACGATACCTCTGGGGTTAATACACAACCAGAAGCGAGATGCAGAGCGTATCTACGTTGATTTTGGTGGGTCTTGAAGGAGACCCCAACCTGCATCGAGATGTGCGGCAGGACAGGGATGAAAGCTAACACTGTTTCGGCAGAGACAGCTTGGCAAACAGCAAGAGGCTCCCGATAGCTGGTACGTCACTCAACTCCACTCAAGTATTTAATCATAGCATCTTCGCAATTACTTCTGTGTCATGTAATTAACTTCCTTGAGCTTTTCAGGAAGGCTTTAACGAGCGCCTATGCTCCCTGCTGGGTCACGCAGTCCTGCCATGGCCATGCGGGAGCAGGAGAGCAACTCGGGGTCTGTGTCGTGGGACCAGGCACCACGTTAATCCCTGCCCTTCCCAGAGAGGGAACATGTCCTTGGTTTTCTCCATCATGTTGGCAACAGAGAATTCATAGCTGGGTAATGCAGGCACAGAAAGGAAAATTAAATTAAAAGTCAAACTTACCTTTTTTCTTGTTTTTAACTGAACTTGGACCTAGAAAGAAAAAAAAAGAAAACTAGTGAAATTCAGTGATGATTTCACCTTGGAGAATCCCCACTGCCACCAACACCCACCGACCCGCAGGGTGCCTCTACGGAGCTGGAACAAAACTGGCAACAAAGCCGAGAAGGTTTTCCGTTTCCTACAAAGAGCTGCTGTGAAGGTGTAACGATTTTACCGGGACCCAGATCTGCTTTACCCTCCCTCAAACCGGCAACCCATGGGCTGGTGTAACACGAGTTTGAGTCAGTTTTGGCGGGCTCTCCAGGAGGGCATCTCTCCACCGTTACTGCAAAGATGAGTTAAGCCAACGTTTGTGGCCAATGGCAAAGCTCAGCTCTTCGACCTTGAGCCAGAGCTTTACTCCCAGGTACCAGCTTAGTTCCAGCTCTGCTGAACACTGCTCAGAGTTTTGCCGTACGCATCCCCTGAAGTCGCTGGTGGAAGCGCGGTGCGTCAAACCTTCAGACAGCAGGAAAAAAAAAAAGCCATTTAAAAAGACGACCCCTGCACAGGAGATTATTTTTCAAGCAGACAACGGATCACAGAATCATAGAATAGTTTAGGTTGGGAGGGACCTTAGAGATCATCTAGTTCCAACACCTTCTGCTAGACCAGGTTGCTCAAAGCCCCATCCAGCCTGGCCTTGAACACTTCCAGGGATGGAGCATCCACAGCTTCCCTGGGCAACCTGTTCCAGTGCCTCACCACTCTCAGAGTGAAGAATTTCTTCCTTATACCTAACCTAAATCTCCCCTCTTTCAGTTTAAAGCCATTACCCCTTGTCCTGTCACTACATGCCCTTGTAAAAAGTCCCTCTCCACCTTTCTTGTAGGTACCGGAAGGCTGCTCTAAGGTCTTCCCGGAGCCTTCTCTTTGGATGCATTTGTGGTCTAGGCAGCCATACATGAATTTTCCCTGTTTGCTTGAAATCTCCAAGCTTACCATTCAAAGCTGACACGTTTTACTCCCTGATGAGGACAGGTTAGAAGAAAGTTAGCGTGGCTCAGCTCTCAGCTCTTGCGAGCCAAATTGTTTAAAAATAATGATAATAAAATACTAAAAAAAATAACAAAAGCAAAGAATTAGTACGAACTGGCTTATTTAAACAATGGGAACACAAGCCTCCCTAGGAAGGAGTGAAAATATTTATAGTGAAACTAAGAAACGACATGACTTTTTAAGTAGAAGCTGAAGTGTGAAACATGTTCCATTGCTGCCTCAAAAATTAATCAGGGGTGGGAATGAACTGCCAAAATCCCCAAATATTCCCTCGCCGTTCATCAGTGCAATCCCTCTAAAATCTGGGTTGAAACACACATCGAAGATGGAAATCACCTTTAACGGAGATAGGCTCATAATGAATGGAAGGTAACGAGGTTGCGTTGAGTCAGCACTGGCAGAGAAGGACAAATTACCAAGGAGTGGGGAGGTGCCCCGTTCCCATGGCTAGATGGGAAGATGAGAGAAGGACCAGAGAACCATGCAGCAACCTCACTGATGCCTTTTCAACAGGAATATGAACGTGCCACCGTTATGCTGTTGGGTCATGGCAAAACTATGGTATTATCTAATTTACAATTTCTGCTAATTTACTATTTTTTTACTAATCCATCCATTCACAGTATTAAAACACATCGATAGGACAAGACGGTCAACGGCGACAATGCCAGTCCCAGTGTCTTGCTGGGGAGCAACACTGAAGCCAAGCGGCAGGTCCACCACCTGCAGATGATCTGCAAAACCTTCCATGTTTGGCAAACACTGACGGGCTCCTCTTTTTGCATAGGTTGCTCAAAGCCCCATCCAGCCTGGCCTTGAACACTTCCAGGGATGGAGCATCCACAGCTTCCCTGGGCAACCTGTTCCAGTGCCTCACCACTCTCAGAGTGAAGAATTTCTTCCTTATACCTAACCTAAATCTCCCCTCTTTCAGTTTAAAGCCATTACCCCTTGTCCTGTCACTACATGCCCTTGTAAAAAGTCCCTCTCCACCTTTCTTGTAGGTACCGGAAGGCTGCTCTAAGGTCTTCCCGGAGCCTTCTCTTTGGATGCATTTGTGGTCTAGGCAGCCATACATGAATTTTCCCTGTTTGCTTGAAATCTCCAAGCTTACCATTCAAAGCTGACACGTTTTACTCCCTGATGAGGACAGGTTAGAAGAAAGTTAGCGTGGCTCAGCTCTCAGCTCTTGCGAGCCAAATTGTTTAAAAATAATGATAATAAAATACTAAAAAAAATAACAAAAGCAAAGAATTAGTACGAACTGGCTTATTTAAACAATGGGAACACAAGCCTCCCTAGGAAGGAGTGAAAATATTTATAGTGAAACTAAGAAACGACATGACTTTTTAAGTAGAAGCTGAAGTGTGAAACATGTTCCATTGCTGCCTCAAAAATTAATCAGGGGTGGGAATGAACTGCCAAAATCCCCAAATATTCCCTCGCCGTTCATCAGTGCAATCCCTCTAAAATCTGGGTTGAAACACACATCGAAGATGGAAATCACCTTTAACGGAGATAGGCTCATAATGAATGGAAGGTAACGAGGTTGCGTTGAGTCAGCACTGGCAGAGAAGGACAAATTACCAAGGAGTGGGGAGGTGCCCCGTTCCCATGGCTAGATGGGAAGATGAGAGAAGGACCAGAGAACCATGCAGCAACCTCACTGATGCCTTTTCAACAGGAATATGAACGTGCCACCGTTATGCTGTTGGGTCATGGCAAAACTATGGTATTATCTAATTTACAATTTCTGCTAATTTACTATTTTTTTACTAATCCATCCATTCACAGTATTAAAACACATCGATAGGACAAGACGGTCAACGGCGACAATGCCAGTCCCAGTGTCTTGCTGGGGAGCAACACTGAAGCCAAGCGGCAGGTCCACCACCTGCAGATGATCTGCAAAACCTTCCATGTTTGGCAAACACTGACGGGCTCCTCTTTTTGCATTTTCTGAGCTCCCACGATGCAGAAGGAGCCTCGATGATGCCGGCGATCTCCACCGGTCCTCGTCTTAGGCACCAGCTAGTTAATGCCATTTTCAACGAAGAGACAAAAATTGTCTGGGGGATGTTGTTCAAAAAAAAAAAAAAGCAAAGCAAACCCCAACACAGCAAGGAAAATGCGAGGGCTGCGTTTGTGTCTCTGCAGACCTCGGAGTCACGAGAGTTTATTTCATGTTATATATATCACACCATTAGCGCTATAACCAGAGTGAAAGTACAAATAGCTGCGGCAAGCCAAACACATTTGAAATGGATGGAACCAATTAGCTTCAAAGATGAATGGGAGGAATGAGAACCACATGCGATGTCAATGTTCACAGTCTATATTACAACACACGCATCTGTTCCAGGCACGGCAGAGAGAGATGTTACGGCTGTGCAAGTGAATCTTTCGACAAACACAAAAATACTTCTGACATGAAAAAAACACAATATTATTAGCCTTGGGAGCTTCTGAGCCTCTGGGGTTTGCATCTGTTCGTCTCCCAATAGGAGGGGGTGGATAATTTGATTGTAGCAGAGAGCCATAAGGTTCATCCGATACACCAGAAGACGGAATTTTCCTCAAAATGGTAAACTCATCGGCCCTTTCTCCATTTAGTCTAAAATGGTAACAAGAGCTCTTACTGAGGTTGGAAAGTAGAGCTCCACCAAAGTAACAGATCTGTGTTTCCTTCGGTACAAAAGCTGCTGAGGCCCAAGGCTGGAAAACGTTATTTGATAAATGTTGTCCCAACACGTATGTGCAGAGAAAAAAAAAAAATCCTTTCCTTTCTGAGGCCACACCCCAATATTTAAGCAATAAAGCTTACTAAACGCTGCGGTGGTTGAACGCGTATGAGCCACTGGTCAGCTGTGAACTGATGGAGCAGGCTAAATGCCTACAAGTTAGGCAAGCACAAGTCTTTCCTAGCGTCTTCTCCTACACAGTTAATCCCACCTTGCCATCCCACTTCTCCTGTGGAGAGGCTCCTGGCCTCAAAGCCTTTCACGCCACCCACGTTTCCTCAGTGTAGTTTCATGGAGGCCATTTGATGACTTAACTCCATAGAAGGTCTATGAGAAGATACTTTTTTTTTCCTTTCCAAGATGCAGACCATGCTATGTTCCTCTACAGTATCAAAAGCCTTATAACTACTACTGGTCCGGAGCTCACAAGACCTGCCATCTTCTTGTAGAAGGAAATTGGTTTGACTTGAAGGATTCTCCACTCATCAACGTTGCCTGCTACCGCTCTCAGCTCTGTTTTCAGGGGCTTCATCGCAGTGCATTTGAGGATTTATTCCAGTCCCGGTGGGATCCGAGAGCAACCCAGCCGGTCAGCTGTTCCCCAGCACCTCTCTTCCCTTCTTTATAAAAATAACCTCAAGTTTGCTTTTCTGCACTTTTCCAACATCACCACTGTTCCTCATGAGTTCCTTAAAGTATCTGTTATGAGCTTGCTAGAGATCAAGCTCACGGTCCAGACTGCTGGTGTTAAACGTGACAGCTACCCAAGCACAGCTATTTTTCTCCATATGTGCTGGTGCTCAACTTTTGTACTTGTCCCTACCAATCCCACCTTATCTCCCACCTCCTTTCTGCATGCTGTCTGCTCATGTTTGATCCCAGACCTGGAAAAGTCCATCCCCTTCTACATTTCCTGTCTTTCATCTGAAATTAAATTTATGCTTATGCTCTAATCCGCCCTTGAAGGAGCTGTCAGCTCTATCCAACCCTTCATTTTAACTTCGCTCTGCAGAGGAAGGAAAGTCGACAAGAACTGTTAATACAGAAGAGGACCGGGATATCAGAGACGACAGGCTGGATGGCTTTGAAGGATAATAAGCATGGAATGAGATTCAGTCATGCAAAATGCATAGCCCTATAAATTATATATACAGAGGGAATAATAATAAACTGTTCTGCTGGGTGGTGGAGCTCCTCAGATGGAGCTGCAGAGGACAACGTCTGCACGTGCCGAATTTCTGTCACACAGCC